CTCCTCCTTCCACAAATCAGGCTGCTGTACCAGAGCAAGTCTGGTTAGAGGGTGGAAATGCCTGAGAGTTACTGTGCACATGCAGATTTTCTTGGCTTTTCCCCAGAATAGTCATGTCCAGCTAATAGATGGAATATGTGTGTATATACTTAATGGCAGCAGTTGGCACATCACTCATGACTGACTGGCCATGGGAAACATCCCACTGGCTCCTGCTGCTGCCATGTGGGTTGTGGGCTCTTTGCATCCATGTCCTGGGATGTGCACTGGTCCATCAGAGTAGCACTGAGGGGCAGCTGTGAACAAAGCTCTAAGCCTGTATCTGGCTCTACCAGTGTGCTGAGCTATCTGTGTCCACAGCTGGGGTTCAGATCTGCGTGCTTGATTCTGCTTTTCATGCTTAACTCCCCCAAACAGGTCTGCCCGTGGTCCAGTTATCTCACTGGAGCATGTTCTCCGGACTTCACCAAACACCCCGTAATACAGTAAGACTTCTCAATTATATGCAATCTTAAATAACCAGGATTTGGGTTGCTTTACTGCTTTACAAAGCTAAAGCCCATCTAATTATGTAGGACAATGTGGCACATCCTTGTCCTTTGGCACGGGGGGAGCTGGTGCAGCTGGAGGGGTGCAGGGGTCCCTTGGGTTGGCTGTCCTGTCCCTCCTGCTCTGAGCTGTGGGGCACGAGGTGCTGCACCCCAGCCACTACTGGCAGGTCAGTGCAGAGCTGTGGGGACAGAAGCCACGCTCCATGTCTGTCTCCAGCAGTTCCAGCTGCAGGGACAGCCCCAAGGTCTTTGCTTTTACTGCGTTTCACCCTGAGAACTGCACAGCGTCACATCCAGTGCTTTACCCACCACTTCAACCCCATTTCCTTACAGATTTAAGAAGGATCGTGCCAACTATTCTCTAAACACAGATGACCCCCTCATCTTTAACTCCACCATTGACAAGGATTATGGCATAGTCAAGGAACACATGGGCTTCACCGAAGAGGAGTTCAAGAGAGTTGTGAGTCAGCCCTGGCTGGGTGCTCTGATGCTGTCCTGGTGCAGCCCAGAACAACCTGCTGGTTTTTCTTTATGAGCTGAAGAATTTTTAATGGAAATCAGAAAGTGCTGCCCTGGCCGTGTAAGCAGGAGGCTAAGAGGGTGCTCTTCATGTCTGACGTGTTTTAATGTCTCCCTTGTGTTCCCCCTCTTCTTCCCCAGAACATCAATGCAGCCCAGTCCAGCTTCTTACCTGAGAAGGAAAAGCAGGAGCTGCTCAACAAGCTGCATGAAGCCTATGGGATGGTCCCCAACACATCGTGACCCGTCCCTGTGAGCCAGCATGGAGCAGGGCCCTTCTTCCTGTGCTGACTCCTCTGTGCCCGTGGGAGCTGGGGAGGAGGTGCCCAGGGTCGGTCTCTATTCCTGGCAGCCCTGTGTTAACCCTTACAATGCTCATCAAAATCAGACTATCACATTCACCCACCTCTACCCCACAAACTCTCTCCCAGATGGATATCCAGCTTCCTATCCTGCTGCTGTGCAAGCAGACTGGATCTGCCTGCTGGCCTGACTCCCTTCTCCATCTGTCAGTGTTTCTGTACTGCAAATGCAAACAGAAGAACCTCCCCTGCTTTCCCCCCCCCCTCTTTCCCTGTTTTTCCTGTCCTGTCCCACTGACCTGCCTGGCCCTTGTCTGCAGTGCTGAAATAACCACCTTTAACTCTGACTGTGGCCTGGGTTAATCTTCACCCTTGCAGGGAAGAGGTGTGTTAGTGCTGGCAGGGAGTGAGCAGGTGTTTCAGACACAGAGGCTTTATTCCTGTCCCTGTGGGTAGGAGGGTTTGGTCACAGCTCTATTTACACAGGGTTAGTCTTGTACTAACAAGACTGGAACAAGAACAAGCTGGAGGCTGGTGCCCCTACCTATACACAGGTCTGAAGGGCATTTAAAACAAAATACTTTTTTTTTTGCATCCTTTCTTGGACAGGAGCTGTGTTAGGCCACACCAGTGCTCATAGCTGGCCATGACCATGCTCGCACATGCATAGGAAGTTGGAACGTAATTTTACCACTTTGGGCCAAAATCTGCCTTCTGGGACTTTTCCCAGTTTTGTACTCATCCTGGAGAATTCCTGTGAACTGCAGTTTGATCTTCCTCTATCTTTGTTTAGGGCTTGGAGAAGCCATGGTCGATTGGCTGGTTTAACAGTTCTGCCCTCTTCCTGATTTGACATAATCATTAGGCACTGCTAAGGCTGAAAAAGTAAATTAACTAGGGCCCAGTGTTGACTTGGATCCCACCTGATTGCTTCTCTCACTCAGCTACAACACTAGCTCCAAGTCAGATCTTCGGTTTGGTGGAGAATTTATACAGAAAAATTCACTGAATATTCCTAAGTGATTTTGGTGCATAATAGTGTTTTTACTCAATAAGCAATACAGCTGTGCATCCAGAGAAGAGACCATCATTTTCTGACGTGAGTGTGTGGTGTGCTTTAGCATCCCAGGTGTCTGCCAAGATGCTTACTCCAAAGATACTGTACCAAAAAGTTGCCTTTGACAAGGGGCCGTGGTCACCATTACCATGGACAGACCACGGACCGGTCCAGCCTCATCCAGCAGGAACAGTGTGCTGGGAGTATTTCCATTCTTTCTGGGCTTCCATATTGGTCTTCTGAGTAAAATACTCATCTCTGAAGTATGTGGTGCATATATACACATAGATAGATGAATAAGAGAGAGTGATTTTCTTACTTTTATAAAGCAAAAAATAAAGCATCCCTTTTAGGAACATGATTGCGGTAAGAAACAGGCCTTTTTTGGGTAATTTCTCTCCAAAAATTCTTTATGAAGAAGAGTTTCTTGTTTGGATTCTGGACAGTTGATTGTTAATCCTCTTTAATAAAATAACAGATTTATATTAAAGGTAAATCCTTTTGCCTTTCTGTTCAAGGGTGACTGTTAGGAACTGCGGCCCCTGCTCCTCAACACGTGCCCTGGTACCCCTGCTAGACCACAAGGGTCCACTGGTAGGTGTGAGGGGGGCTTTGGCAGCCTGATTCCTGTCTTCTCCTGTTGCCAGGCTGGAGCACTTTGACAGCCAGAAGGAAGTCTGCTCCCTTGCCAGCCAACCAAGTTGGATTTATGGATGCAGGTTGTTCCAACCTCCCGTGTCCTTTCCCTTCAGTAATCAAAGGGATGTGTAACCCCTGCCAGAAGCAGCAGTGCCATCACTGTGTGCTCTCACTTTTTCTGGTGTGTATCAAAAGTAGTTCACAGGTTTTTTCCCCTGTCTCCTGGGTTTTGCACCAGTGGCTGATGCTCAGAGCCAGAAGAGGGACAGCCTGGGCTGCACCATCGGGGGACGAAGGGGAGTGTTTGCCAAAAGACTTCGGATCGTTCAGTGCTTGGTTGGAGCTTCGGGAGGTCTGGCATGCCACGTGTTCAACTGAAATGGAGGGCTCGGAGCATCCATGTGCTCAGCAGCTTTGCAGGTGGGGATGTGGCTGGATGAAGGCAGTGCCCTTGGTCTTCCAGCACAGTTGGCGACAGCAGCTGACCTGGCTGCCACTTGCAAGGGGAACCCGATGCCTGTCTGCTGTCCCCTGAGAGTAGCTGGCCCACAGGTCCCTACTCCTCTGCCTAAATATAATTCTGGAACAGATATTTTCTGACTGAGGAGAGCTAAGATTAGCTCACATTTGACTGCTGGAGGTCTTGGGTGGTGCACGGTCCCTCCACGCCACCTGTGTGTGTGTGCCAGCGTGAGCCAAAAATACTGCTCTGCTCCTTGGTGAGGAGAGCTGGAAATGGGGCTTAAAGACACAACTGTGCAGTCAGCCAAGCCCAGGAGCTACCTGCTGGTTTGCCCCTGGGCATGGGAAATGGGAGCAGGCTCTTGGCTGCTGTCCTGGCTGGGCTCTGCAGGGAGCCCTGTGCCAAAGCAGCGGCTGCAGCCACCACCTGGCTGCCAAATCCTTGTTTCCTGTGGGGGCTGGAGCCATGGACATCTCTTGTGCTGGCCCCACAGCCACCGCTTCTCAGAGGCCCACAGACAATTCTCCCTCTGTCTGGCATCTGCTTCTCTGCTTATTTATGGCCTTGTTTTCCCTGAAAAACCTCAAACTTGTGAGATTCAGTTCTTCCCTGGGCTGTCAGGGCGATGCTTGTCCTTGTGTCACCAGCTCAGGGTGTTTCCCAGGGCAGCTCTGCCTTGTCCCTGTCAGGCTGTTGGTCCCAGCCAGGCTGCTCCATCGGGATCAGCTTGGGCTGGGTGAAATGCCAGCAATGTCCCCATAGTTCTGTGCTGCAGAGGGAAGATGCCTCTTCCTACTGGCACCAGTTGTGCTGGTGTCTGGGCCAGTGTGCCAAGTCCCAAGCCAGCCTTGAGCTTGACTTCTGGGGCAGTAACGTGGAGGGGAGCAGTGCTCCACAGGTGGATGAAATGCCCACAGGAAAGCACTGCCTGGCAGAAAACCTGGGAAACCTGTTTCTAGAATGTTCCGTGCCCAACTGTATCTGCCTCCCCCTGGGGGCTGCAAACCCTGGGGGTTTCATAGACCCAAACTGAGGGGACTCTCTTGTAGCACAGCTCTGTGTCTCCATGTTAGGGGAAGCTGGTGAATCCATCCCACAGATCAAGGCAAAACAGAGGAAGAAGAAACACCGAGGCAGAAAAAAACACCTTCAGTACTTGAAGGTTGTGTTATTTATTCCAACAGCTTATATAGTTTTATCAAACCATCTTTAACACAAAACATGTCTCCTAAAAGAGAGAATGGTGTGAGATCCTACCAGAGATCATCTCAGCTAACAGCTTGCAAAGTTAAGCCTGAATTTCAACAGTCAAACCAGCAAATTGTTTCTCCCCTCCCCTTAACAACATCTTAAAATGCTGACACCCAAATGAAAAGGTGCCTGTGGCTGGTGCTGCTGTGTCTCCAGGTGGGGCTCATTCCCACAGAGCTGTGCTTTGGTCCTTTCCTGATGCTAAGCAGCAGCAGCACAGGTAAGTGGTGTTGACATGAGGGCAGTGGGACTGGTCAGGTCCCTTCCCCACTGCCCACCCTGACGAGGGGCCACGTGGACGGTCCAGAGGCCAGGTCAGATCTAAGATGGAGATGAGGGTGAGGCTTAGAAAAACCAATAAGCTGAACTTCTAATCTATGGAAACAGAATAAATAATAGTCTAAATTTGCAAAGGAGGAAGGTACCTTGGACAGGAGAGTCTGATGTGTCTATTATTACTGAAACTGTTTTCCCCCTAAGGGAAAATCGCAGCTAAGGCATCTTGAGAATGGCTCATGTCACTACAACCACGGCAGTGTTGCCCTAAATCATTAGGGATGGGGGCAGAAGTCTTTTGGAGGTGCCAGTCCTTGCACAGCATCTTGTGGCTCTCTACAGAAACGTGGTTGCAGCAGAGGCATCTGATGGACAACTTGCTGTTCCAGGTTGGCTTTTGTCCGCAGATTCAATTGCAAATTCTTGTCTGATGTTCACAGCAAGGCCTTCCTCCTGCCCATCCCGACCCCTGTTTGCTCTCATGGGGAGGGGCTGCTTTCTTGCCCCTTTGGTCTTGCTCCAGGGTCGTTGTCAGAAGAGGAGGCATCTCTTTGGCTTTCTGCGAAAGGGAGGATTGGGAAGAAAGCAAATTTACACCCTGCTGAGGACACAAGCCACCAGTAACTGCTACAGCTGACTTCATTCTCATTGCCACCTGAAGACCCACTGCTCCCCTGCTGTGGCCAGGCACCTCCCAGGCTGTGCCAGGAGCTGGGCTCGCCGGTGTCTGTGGCAGCTCACCTGCTCCCTGCACGGCGAGGTCGCCGAGCTCCTCGGTCAGCTTGCGCATGCTGATGGTGGTGGCATCTCGCTGGATGTCGTGGACAGCGTTCCTCCGGCCCGCCCGGTCGCAGGAGATGAAGTCGGTGTAGGTGCTGGACTCTACCTCCATTGCATCTCTATTCGCCTGCAAAACACTGTGGAGAAAACACAGCTGTGAGGACGAGGATGCTCGGCAAGGCTGGAGTCACGGCTCCCTCCAGGTGAGGCTGCTCCGTGGGGTTAAATTACAGCACGAAAAAACAGCCCCTGTAACTCTGCTCTGGTTCCTCTGTCAGCAGCCACTGAGATCTCAGATATCAACCCCCTCGTGTGGGGAGATCCACCGTGCTGGGTGGCCCAGTGTGCCACGGATTCATCCCAGCTGCCTTACTGGCCCTTGTTCTACCTTCCCCCTGCAAACCAAGGCAGACAAGGCGTTCTTCTCTCCTTTGGAGTTTCCAGCCTTCTCCTTTAGGCACACAAGGTCGCTTGCAGCAGCTTTTCCCTTCAAAAAAAGCATTACAGAGAAAGACCTCCTTCCTCCTCAAAATGCTACAGGAGCTTTGAACAGAAGCCAAGTTTGGCTCACTGCGGGGGGGAAGGGGTGCTGATCCATCCTGAATTTGTAATGGGAAATGATGGAACCCCTGGGAACAGCTGGAGGAACAGAGGAGTATTTTACAGGTACGGGGCTTTGGAGCAGTACTGGCCTCCACTGGTTGTGGGATGTCACTGAAGAAGCGTTGGGCTGGAGTGCTGTGAGATAAGCACTTTAACATGTGAAAAACAGCCCTTCTGTGAGACACTTGGATCCCTCCACTCCAGACTTGTGCCCGTGCCAAGGGCACAGCACAAAGAAAGGCTCGGAGCGGCCACTTGTCACACGCGAGCTCCGCTGTGAGCCAGCTCCGAGCTCAGCCTGATGAATCCTTAAGTTGCTGGTTTTTCCCTTCAGCCCAGGGTGTCCCTTGCCAGCGTTTGCACAGCACACAGAGTGCAGGGGCCGCAGCAGCTCGGGGTGTCCTGTCTCCTGGGCACAGAGCTGGCGAGCACACACTGCCTCGGCACGGGAAACCCACAGCTCTCAGTTCCTGCTCCTGTAGACTCCGTTTGGCACTTAGTTTGTTTTTCTGTGTGGAAGTTAGAGATTAATTGTTGTCTTATCTGTGATTCTGCTCACTGTAAAATACGCCTCTAGCTCCACTGATGGTGTCAGTGCTCGGAGCAGGTCCCGATTAGAAACGCTCGTGTGCAGTGAAAACAAAGTCATGCACATTTAATGCACATTCATTCCCTTTTGTGCCTCGGGGTTAATGACCCAGAGAAGTTTGCTCAGCTTCCTGTACAAATCCTGCTTAATATTGATTTTCCTACCAGGGAATTCTACTGGCAGACCACCAGACTGGACAGGAATCACACTCCTCTGCCTAATCCCCAGTGTTATGGCACTAGGAAGGAAATGAAGCAGATGGGATGAAAGAGGTTAAATTCCCCCCATTCCTGAGCTGAGCAGGGTGCAGCAACCACAGTCTTGGTAGCCCCAGGGACTCCTCTCTTGGTGCTGATGCCAAATCAGGGAGTGCTGGCACCGGCTCTCTGGTGGGATGTGGGGCTCAGCCTACCCAGACCTCCCAGGAGATCCTGCTTCCCCAAATCCAGCAAATTCTTGCAAACATCCATCTCCTCCAAGGGCTTGGCATCCATCTAGCCCCTATTAAATGAGCACTGGGAAAAGCTGCATCCTTTGTCCCAGCAAGAGATCCCAGCTGTTTTTCCTCACCTCCTCTCCTTCTGTCCCTGGCGTGCCGTTCCTGGGATAAGGCACACGCTCTGGATGGAACAGGCTGGATGAGCTCAACGAGCCTTTTCCCCAGGACAGGCTGAGCATCCATCATTCCCAGACAAGTCCTTACAGCTCATCAGAGCTCAGAGGCTGCTGACCTTCTGCAGCTGCCAGAGATGTCATACGGACTCAGGAGGCTTCTCCAGGAGTGATCCACACAAGGCTTGGTTCATCTCCAATCCGTGAGACCAGTCCAGAGCTGAGATGCTCCAGAGTCCTCCTGCCCTTGTACTGAGGGCTGGACCACCTGGTTTCTAGGATG